AGGCTGTATTTTTGTTGCTGGAATAAGCAGGTATTGGCATAGAGCATCTCAGAGTCCCTGCAGAAAGCAAGGAAGCAATAATAGCTGTCTTGCAGGATTTTTGTATCTCACTATTGAACTAATAAGAACTTTTGAAATCTATTTTGGACTTAAGTTTTCTTAAGCTGCCAAATTTGCAAACACTGAATTACATAGCTTCTGAATATTTTATGAGAGAAAAATGCTTGGATATCTCATCAGACATGTTTTCCACAGGTCATTCTGTTTTCTTTTTTTAAATGAAAGGAGCAATGTTTTTCTGGGTATCAATAATTGATCCTCTTAAACTAACCAAACCATTACTGCAGTATGATAGCTGACGTCAGTGTAACCTTATATGGAGTAGGGTATACTAGGGTATTCAGGGAAATGTTGTGGATAGGCCAGTTTATAGCAAGTACTTCTTAAATGACATTTATTTGCTTGGCCTTTACTTCATCTTTTCTGTAAGTTTGACTCCTTTCAAAGTGATCTGTAAGTTCCACTGTTATTTTTCACTTTGCCTGTTTGGTCTGTCATTGTCCGTTAGTATTCTAGTGAAATCTTTGTTGGATAAATTCCGCACTGGAATAGGCGAACTGCTTCAGTGTTGCTGTTTTTTGTTGGTGGTTGTGGGCTGCTTTTGTTGTTCATTTCATTTGTGTTTAACACTGGATGGACTCGTACTTAGTAAGTTATGTACAAATTAGCAAGTGTAATTTAGGCTTATTAGTAAGAATTTCAGCCAATGTTTTGTCTGGGTGTATCTGATAGAGACCATCTGCTGTGACAATGTACCATGTGTCTTGACATACACTCTATACTACCCAGGTGTTGAGAATACAGCATAATATTATCACTCTAAATGTGAGACTCCCTTTAGGCTTATCAAAATGGTGAAAGAATCTACTGAAGGCCACAAAATGGAGCACTTGCTTTATCAGAGGTCTGCCAAGTAGAAAAAGATCTAGAGTAACATAAGCAAAAAAATTCTGCTATGTGTATCTTTGGTGGCTTTGAGAAAGCAGCTGAATTAAAAGATGTCAACGTAACTATAGAATTCTGGTGTGCAAGAATGGTTTGTGTGAAGGTGGTGTGGATCTGAAGCATTTACATATAAAATATTTCCTAAACTGTAGGTTCTAGGAAAGCAATGCTGTTAAGAATGGCAGCTAATAGAGATAGAATTGCAAGTTGCTGGCCTCTCAATCTAAGGCAGGCCTCATTTTCAAAAATGAAACCTATTCTCAAGTGTCTTTTCCCCCTTGTGAAGTCTGCTGTCTAAAAGTTTAGGCATCCTAGTGGTTGTGTAATTTAAGTCACTATTTACAGTTGCAAACATAACCCAAAGCATTGATGTTTCTGGTCGGTTGTGAGTAGATCACTGAGTGCCAGATCCTATATACCTTTCCTTTATACATCCTGTTCCAGGAAGGATATGTATTAAGAAATATGCCGCTTCTCACTTAATCTAAACAAACTGTTCCTGCCATCAGCTAATTAAAATAATGAGCACTTTGTGAAACAACAGGTAAGCAGACTGGATAAAGATAGTATTATCTTACTTGTACCTAGTGAGTCTGTAAATAATTAAACAATTACCGTCACTGTCCGATTCTCATCTTAAGTGCCTTTTTTTGGGTTGCAGTGTTGCTTAGTTAATCCTTTGAGGTGAAGAATTAATAATGAACAGACCTATACCGATATTCATGTGACTGATTTGTATACTGTATAAATGAAAGCAGTATGGAAGGCTGCCTTTACGGTCTCTGCACAAATATTGAACAAATAACTAGGATTTTTATAATTGCCAATTAAATATGTGAAGAGCCTAGCCATGTAAATGAAAAATATGAAATAACCCAACTAAACAGGAATATTATGTAACAGTAACTTGTCTGCATACTAGTTAGAACTCCAATGTTAGCAGGACTTAAGCTTGGTATGGAATTGATCTGCATACATTGTAGTTGACTCTGCTTCAAAGGATGCTTGGCAGAGGATTTTATTGCTACTAAAATTTTAATTTAGAAGTAATATGGGTGGGAGATTTTCATAGCTGTGAACAAAAAAGTGTTATAAAWGCACAGATACAGTCCTCCAAAGATATAAAGAACTTGAATACCCCCAGAGAATCAAATCAAATACTGAGCTTATTGTTAATATATTATTGGCAACTAGAAATCAATACAATGCCAAGAACAACTCTGGGGAATTAGGACTTACTGCAAATATGAAACACTTGCTTTTCTCCCTCGGTAAATTGACTTGCATGCTATTTTGCTGAGTGCTAGGGAATTTTGTTTTTACGTTCTTATGAATAGTCAAGTGTTGAAAGTTGTTTGATATATTGACAAAAGGGTATGGAGTAAGGAAGAAATATGGAAGCAACAATTGACTCTTACAATATTAGTATATTCAAGTTCACTACCATGAAATAGACCTTTTCATTCATCACTTCAAGTATTTGTAGATATGTGTATTTGTAAATGTTTCTCAGCATGATGTGTATCCTTGTTTATTTTAATTATGATTGGTTTAAATATAGTTGATGGGTGAAAAATGAAGGGAGAAAAAAATACCCTGCAGTTTGATCTTTGCTCTGCCAGTGACTTCTCTGGTGACCGAGTTAGCTAATCACTGTCTCGGTGTCTAACTGAGAGGAGATAATTGYACTCTCCTCACTGCCATGTTAATACTGAGTATGAACTTGCACAGAGTAGGAACGTGTGAGGTGCATGGTGACCAGCTACCCTGGGAAGTTTGTGGCCTGTCGGACAGGGCAGGCAGTGTGGAGGGAGAAGGGATGCGTGGCTCAGGATACAAGCAGTTTTTAGAGGCTGGAAATGCCACAGGGACTCCTTATGGGGCGGTGTTGGTTCTTTGCTCTAAGAGAGCACATTGGCTCTAGCCCTGCTATGGGGCACTGATCTGTGAATCTGGACCAGGCCTAGGAGCTCAAGCAGGATCTGACCCAGCCTAGGATGCCCGGGGATCAGGGACTGGAGCCAGCAGAGACTGATGGCCCTGAGCTGGCCTGAGATGGGGCCAGGACCTGGGCTGAGGCCATGGGGAGGCTGCTCAGGGCTGCAGTGGTCCCTAGGGGTGTTTGCCTAAAGCTCGGTGCTCTCCTGGACTGCAGTGCCTGGTATATGCACACCCACATCATCCAGGCTGGGGAGAAGATAGGTTTTGCTTTCTCTCCTGATTTATAATTAAAACATTAGTGGTGGTCAAAGCATTTCTTTAGGACCAACCTGCACGTCTTGAGCCACAAATYGTCTCTAGCCATTTATTGCTCTCGTGGGCATGTCTTGTGCCTTAGCATGAGCTCCTGGCTRTAGCAATGAGCTCATTTCAGCAGTTTGCTCTGTGCATGTGCAATGCAGCATCCCTCTTTCAGTGCTGCTTGCAAAGCATCTGATTCATTGCATCTATATTTATCACTGAATGAGGTCCAGTTATGCAAATACAAATAGCTTTTATCTTTTGTCTGATTATTTGCTCAAAAAGTATTGAATTACTGTTGTAACGATGAATAATTTGTTGCTAACAATATAGCCACCTCATGCTCTGTGTTGTAATTGCTAGTAGCAAGATAGAGCCCACGTTTAGGGTAGCAGAGAGGAATCTGATGAGCTAATTAAGATGCAAAACCCTGCCCTTGTGCAAGAACAACTGTTGGGCTCCATGTTGTGTTTTTAGAGTTGCTCTACTGCTGTTTGTTGGTGACAGATTTGTTGTAACCGCTTCATTAGCTCAGTCCTGCTCCTGGGAAGCACCCTTGACAGCGTGTCCAGCTGCGTGCCCAAGGTCAACTTGCAGCTCTGTGTTCTGATGGAGATGCTGTAATCTCCCTACCCAAGAAATAACCGCTCGGCAAGTGTCGAGCATGTCTGCTTTTAGCACGGAGACCCCAAGGGGGATTAATGGTGTTTTATGCTCAGTGGCCTATTGGCAAATGATCTATAAACAAGGTCTTCCTGGCCGCTGGTCCATGCTGAGTGCCTGAGGCACTAAGGTAGATCTATAGGCACAGATGAGGTGCTGCGTGCCGAGCTCAGCCCTGGGTTTGCTGACTTGCTGGTGTTTGCTCACTTAACATTACTCGTGAAGCATTCAGGAACTCTTTGGTGTTGTCACTGCTCATGGCACAGCCTGACGCTTTGTATATGATGTGTTTTAAACGCTACGCAACCCAGGATGGCTTTTCCTGTTGCTTCCCTTGATTTCTGTGCAGCCTCTGTGCCTGTAGCACGCAGGCGGTTAGAGACACGGCATCCTTGCTGCAGCATCCACGAAAGGCTGATGTGAATTCCAATGCAAGTGACTCATCAGTCAGCATAGTGCAGCTGAGACTCCTTTAATTTCCAGCTCCCTGTTCTGCAAGAGCCAACACACACTGACAGAAGGATTCCTGCGATATATTAGACGCTCTCATTGAAACACTAGCTTGCTGATAGCGTGGCAGCTCCCTGCAGGTTCCTTCTAGTGAACGTTGTTCCCCTCACACTTGATGATAATTGTCTTGTTACATTGTGCTTCTAAGAGAGGTTTACACGGATAATTCTAGTGGTAAATTCAAATTCTACAGGGTTTATGTTCACACTTAGTACATATTGATATGAACCAATAAATCAAAATTTCCTTCTCTCTCTTTCCTTATCTCTGTGATAAGTACATTTATGAGCAACTGCATAGTTGCATATATGGCTCTTGGCAATTATGCTGCACATAGGCATAGAACATATAGCATATTTTGTGGCACCTTTCTGTTTTTAATAATGTCAAGGAGTGTCATTATGTTAGTTCTGGTTGTTCAGAACAGCTGCTTCCAGAGGACGTGGTGATGTAGCCTGCTTAGTTTCTTTCAAGAGGACTGATTTGCTTATTCCTCAGCACAGACAGTGTAGCTGCAACTGCATGATGACTCCTGGTGACAATTTATTAAGTATTAACAAACCTCAAACCTTATTTTACAGGAGGCCCAGAAGATCAATGGTGGTGGAGATACACAAGCAGACGGGACCTGCAAGCCTACAGATGAAAAAGAGGAGAACGTGGCAGCAGAAGTGGGATGGATGACCTCTGTGAAGGATTGGGCAGGAGTCATGATATCTGCCCAGACGTTAACTGGCAGAGTTCTTGTGAGTTTTCTGTGATTTTTTTTTTTTTTTTTCCTTTCCACTCTATATATTCTTACTTCTAACAGCATTTGTAGTAAGCACTGTTTTCCTGGCATTAGTGGAAAAGATTTTCTTGGTTTGTTGCAGCAGAGTCAATCCACACTTTTTTTTTTTGTAAGTAAAATAACAGACTAATTCTTACTGCAAAGAGCTAAGTGGACATGGCAAGTAAGAAAAACTTTCTCCTACTATAGTCTTACATTTATTTATTTAATACCTCCCGCCCCCCCGCTCCCAAATTAGCTCAGTATGCTTGCACCATGACCAGGATAGAGTAGTTAGAAATGTAAATATGAGTTTGAATTGGATGTGCCATAAAATTTAGGAAACATCCCAAAGATGATGTATCTTGCAGATTAAGTTCACTGGAAGACTTTATAATTTTCAGTTTACTTAAAGCATTTTATAGCTTTGTCAAATCATACTGAAATTCATAGTCTTATTTGTGGAGCCCATTGCTGTCAAAAGTATCTTGATTTTGAGTAGYTGATTAGTTTGATTAGTTTTCCTGTTAGAATGCAGGTACTTATAAATTATCAGATGAAATGATTTAAATATCCTGTCTGGTTAAAATTTGTGTAATCTCATTGAAACTCTTGAGGTAGTTTGGGACAAAATGAAAACAAAATTTTTGTCCTTGGTTGTTTCCTTTAGTTGAAAGGTATTTTACTGTGAATCTGTTCTTGTCTGTAATTGTGGTGGTTTTTTTTTTTTTTTTTTTTTTTTTTTTTTTTTTTTTTGAGGGGGGAGAAGGTGGAGGGAGGAAATAGTGATTCTCAGTTTCTTCTTCATAGGGAAAATTTGAAGTGGATCAGTTGCTATCATGTTTTTGTCTTGTTTAGCTCTGCAGTAACCCTGTTTTCATTAGTTTTTATTAAAAATACCTTATGCTTTTTTGCTTGTTACACAGTGACTTTTACCAATAGCATAGAAACATATTTCAGTGTTGCTTTTAGCATTACATATGTCCTCTGTGTCAACCYGGTGTATTGATGATTTTATGAAACACAGCTTATTGATTTCTCTCCCCTTTTATTTTTTTTGATATTTTGAACGTTAAAATGACAACTCTTGGAGTCATAATTTTTCTTTTGACTTAGCTATTAAGGATAGAGGTTATCCACAAGCTGGAATTTTATGCTGCTAGCTTATTTAATCACAAAGGAGCCTGCATTGTCTTTACTGAGGTGAATACCAGCACAAACGCAGACAGTCAAGACTGGAGCTTAAAATATAGAACATGTTTTWCTATGTCTTTTTCTTCAGGGAATTTATGCAATTCTATTTGATTTTCTTTCTTTTCTTATTTTTTTCTTACAGTGTACCCTTGTCTCTCAGAAGGGACTAGTTTATTTCCATTGTTTTATTTCTAGGCAGGTGAATAACGTTGTAGAGTCAGATTATTTCTGTGAGTGTGTCTATAATAATAACAACATATGATTAAGGCTATTCTGCACGCCAGGCTCATCAAGAGTGTTAATCATCTGAGGCATATGAGTAGCAGCAAAGACATAGTGTACGGAATGTAATAATTTTGCTGAGCATAGAAAATAGGATGCATTTAACAGGGCATACATTGGTTTGGGGATTTGACTGAATTTGTTTTCAGGATGGAGTATATCTTTTGCAGTATGACTATTTGTGGATTTAAAACTTATTCCACAAAAACGTTTGCTTAAAGTTAACTGCTCAGTGAACAGTTTTTCTTGGAAATAATATTTACWTTATTTGTAGCTATAGGATGTAGCTAAGTTGAGTTCAATAATTTAATTGTCCAAGTAAATATTGTTTTAATATTTTAAATTTAATACCATTACTTATTCCTACCAATAACTTGTTCCTGCCAAATACTAAAGTTCTGATTCAAAGCACTGGATGTGGGCGAAGAATTATAATTGATCATTAGTACAGGATGATCACTGGAAAGCTGTTGTGCAGATGCTGCCTTGGTGTATTTGGCAAYCATAGGAGACAAGCTGGCAGGGTTGTGTATGTAAAGTGGAATCTTAGCATTTTCTTCTCAATGCAGGATAAAATTGATTTTCAAGAGTACAGCTCCAAATCTATGTGCATGTAGTACAGAATCACACTTTTATATCAATGTAAGACAACTGTTGGGTAAAGCAAACATTTCTCTTCAGGCAACAGTWGCTGTAAATTGTAAGGAAACCTTCAAGAATCAGAGCAGAAGACTGTCTTCAACCTAGCTGTGAAACTAGCTGAAGAATTGCAGCTTTTTTTTTTTTTCTTTAAATGGAAAATTATGCTAGATGTTCATTTTTCTTTCTTTAAAGATGTAGTTGAGAAACAAGTTGGAAAAGGTTTAGAACATTCCATTTCAAAATGGCCATCATAGTTTTTTGATCTTTAACTTCACTAAAAATTTGTCAAAACTGCGATGGAAAAGACTGAAAACAGTTACACAAAATACTTTCAACTGATCTGACATGACATTTATGAAATTATTTTATTCAAGAACTTTTTTAATAGTTAACTTTCAAAATCTTTGTTAGCATTTTTCCAAATAACGTATTTCAGTAAATCTGTTTGGAAAACAAGAAAAATTTCTTGTATGTTAGATGATCTGGATTGTTGGATGCAGTTAGTGACATGATTTAACCCATCCTAGACCTAAAATCTTAAGCCTCTCTGCCCACTATTTTCTTAAAAATAAATAAGTAAAATCTTTAATTGACTGATGGAAAACAAACAAACAAAAAGCTTAATAACTGAAAGTAAGACAGAAAAAGTATAATGTCATCTTAGTCTCCTGCTGTTCCAGTGACAAGAGAGAAATTATATCCTATAAGTTAAACAGGATAAATGAAATCTCTTGAAACTCTGAAATATTCTGGCTTCAAATTAAATATTCAAATAAAAGGAAGGGCTACCTTTTACATATGTGTGTATATATATATATTAAAAAAAAAAGACTTATGGTAGATTTCTGGGCCTACTGTGTTTCTTGTCAGCAATGGTGTCAAAGCAGGTATGTTATCTAGATTTTGGGAGACTTTGGCCATCACTTGTTTTGACATTATGTCAACTTACTGTCTAAGAGTATGTAATTTTTTTTTTAATGGCAGCATAATCACATGAAAGTGCCATGTACATGAGATTGTTGCTCAATTGCTACTATTGCAGTTTAGTGGTTTGAATATTGTAGAGAGAGAAGACTGAAATAGAACTAGACACTAATTTGAAAGTAAAGGTAGTTTTACTTTAGGAGCTTAAGTCCCACTTTTAAGTATTTGACTTTCAGAAGTGCCTTATGCACAAAGGAATATTCACACTGCACGATATCATCTGGGTAAGGAATAATTTCCAGAGGGTGATTCAGAACATTCTCCAGTTAGCATCCTCTTTTGTTGTCTTCTTGAGGAGCACAGGAAGATGAGCTGGCAAAGCACAATGCATGAAGTCTTGTGGTCTGCACATCCTTTTCCTCATTCTTTGGGTTTTAAAGCATGACTGGGACTGGATCTGTTGGGTGGCACTGCCTTTGAAAGTGTGACTCATGCTCTTAAATAATGTAGGCACATGAAAGAATTTTTCACGTAGCTTAAAAATCTGTCCATATGAAGTTRCATAAGAACATGCTAACAGAACCCAAGCAGTGCTGTTTGCAGTTGATGCTGAGTGACATAAATATTAATTACCATAAATGGTATAAATGGACCTGAAATCTGCTCAGGAAAAAATGTGATTTGTTTTGAAGTACAATATAATGCTGTTCCTTGCTGTTCCAAGGTAGATGATGGAAAAATAGAATAGGAATTCCTGAGGTAGGCTTTTCAGAAAATAATAAAATGCATTCATAATTAATCTGAACAATTAAAGGTGTTTAAGAGCTGATTTTTGCTTCCTGAAATTAATTTTTATTAATCATTCGAGTATGAGGAAAAATACTTCCTTAATTGTGTAATTAAAGTGGATGATATAGAAGATAAACCTGAAAGTGTTACTGCAGTTCAATCTAGGTTCTGGTTGTGTGTGAACACTCCTTTTTTTTAATAAAAAGAAAAAAAAAAAAGAAAAGGCAGTAAAGAAGGCTGGGGTACTAGTGTGAAACACTACATCATAAAGGTGTCAGGTATCTTTTGGTATCTTTTAATAATCGGTGAAAGTGGGCAGAAGCCTGTTATTTCTTTCTGAACTGAAGTAAATACAATTTCAGACACAGCTTGTTCAAGTGAAGAAAATGAAGAGAATATTTTACAGACTGTTTGATTTTGTGACCAAGTTATTATTTGTCCTCTTAGATGACTTAGCTTATTTTAGGCTTTTGTATCATCTCGATATTTTGATCTCTCTCTCTCTCTCTCTCTCTCTCTCTCTCTCTCTCTCTCTCTCTCTCTCATATTTAAGGGCATTTACCTGAATATCTTTCAAACTATTTCAATAAGCCAATGCTAACTCACCAGATTCATAATGAAGTCAGTGTCTCGCTTTGCTTAGTTGCTGTCCACTTCTCAAAAGGCAATATTACTGTTCTTATCTGCACTAGTTTTCATTTGAGTGTAGAGGATGAAATTACTTTTGTATGATGGGAGCTAGATACTCACTGCTTTCAGTTTGAAAAATTAGAAATAACAGGTAGGTATCCAGTCACCCCCTTTACTTGTGGCTTCAAATTAAAAAAAAATGGTGCTTGTGGTGTTAGTTGGGCAGATATGCCCTCAATATTTTGGACTGGTAGATCCACAGTTGTTACAGGAACAGAGAAGATCCCATGCRGGTCTTTGGTCTTTTCAGACCAAAATATGTTTGTTGACTGACAGCTTTTTCAATGTCAGCTGATGCACAACTTGTAGCTGTTTTTTCTAGTCGTCAGCGTTTCATGACCTACGCATGGCAGAGACTTACTCTTTCAAAGCCTTCTAGTGTCGTGCCAGCTCTAGTAGTCTGCTCCTCCCGGTTACTGAAGAAAGCAGAGTCAATCAGAAGGTTTTACATTGCTTTGCTAATGTTCTTACYGCTTACTAGCTATATTTAAAATGGCTAGAGGAAGCAATATGTGAAATATTGTTGTGTCTTGAATTAAAAAGTGGCTTTTTATTTCCTAGTGTACATTTAGGATAAGCTATAACATACTTTTGATTAGTGTGTAGCTGTTGCTATATTCTGCTCATCTATCYTCCAAAATTTGTGTTCTGTCCCACAMGTTCCAAAGATGAAAAATACAAGGCTTGCAAATGTTTTGTCAAGTTATAGCACAGTTTTGGGGTTAGTAATAAGACTTCACATTACTTCTTGCTTCACAGTGAGTTTCATACTGCCATATTTGTGTATCTTCRTTTCAGAGAAATTGCTGTCAAAATTTTAAAATGTGATTAAATTTTGAATCACACTCRCATGTGTGCTCTGTCTCTGTATGTGTTCTTTTAAATGAAATATTTCATCTCAAGGTAGATATTTACAACRAAGTGGACTCAGATTCTTTTAAGATTAAGGAAAAGAGCTTTCAATAAGGTGAAGTTGCTTAGCTGCCAAAACAAAATTCATCAGCACAGAACTTATTTGGGGGTCTTGCGCTTTCAACAGTAGTAACATTTCTTTCATGACTTCTATAAGAACAGGTGCTTAAAGGAGAATGCGGTATCCCTGACAGATATGAATTTGGAGAGGGCATGTATATTTGATATGCATACATTTTTTTTTGACAGTGTTCTTGACAATGTCAGATATTTTACGAGGCTTGCAAACCAGCAAGAATCCTTGGGCACTATGTAGCTTCTCAGAACATGATAATGAATATTAACAGGGTTATATAGGGCAAACAAAGCTCTCATGAATTTTGGTCTCTCTCGCCTTCCATTGTAGAACCCTGTTATCCTGGAGGCCTCTTGCAACCCATCTTGTTCTGAATTACCATATAAACTTTTGTAGAGCATCTTTAATGTTCCTGTGACGCAGCTGATCTGACTAGGTACGACTTAGCTTAGAAAATCAGGTATTAATTAGACTGATAACAGAAACAAGATATATACTGTTTGGTTTAGAGCATTTCATACTCATTTCACGCTCATATTTTGCGAATCTGAAGCTGATATTAGCCTTTTAGCAGTGATGAACGTAGGTTCTTGGATGACAGGAGCTAGGTTTTGCAGCCTTTCTTGTAGTAGAATGACTGTCCTTCGCCTCAGTGCTCTGTGTGTGGTTGTGTGTTGTTTTGTTTCTGTTTGTTTTTGATTCTTTTTCTTCCCTCTATTTCTTGACTCAAAATCCAGACCAAGACTCATTTTCCTAGAGTTTAAAATAATTCCTGTAATCAAAAGAAAGACTGAAGTTTCTCAGTATGTAGTTRAAAGTTTAGTTAGAAACTTGAGTATATCTTTTGAAAAGTTGCTCACATAAATTTGGGATTTTAACTGATGAGATTGTTAAACATTTCTAGGACATTCTAATGATTAGAGTAATGATCTAATCACATTAACAATTATCTTGTCTTTTTGTATGCCTCTGTGGGTGCCAAAATGATATATAGATGAGACTAAACTACACGTGCATCTSTCTTTTCAGGCAGATGACTTCTTATTTTACAGATTAAGAAATTAAAACACAAAGGAGCTGATGATGACCTCGAAGTGTAGAACTCAGTAATACTCATATACCCATGACAGCAAGTACGTGGCAGATGACCTTCAGAGTGTGTAAATATAGGGCAGTACATCCAGGGAAAAAGATGGAAAGTACACCTGAATCATTCTTGGGGCTATGCTTATGATGCTTCTATGCTTATGATTATGAAAAACAGAGCAGATATCAGTGTCATGATAGATGGTACTTTGAAATTGTTGACTCAGTCTTCAGTGGCAGCCAGACAGACAAAAKCCTGGACATCATCAAGAATAAGATTGAGGCCATCGCTTTGCTGCTATATAGAAGAGCAATGTCCACACGCGCGTCCATCTTGAGTACTTGTGAAATCCACATTTTTATATCTTAAGAGGGACAGTGTTAAAGTATGGAGCAAGTCAACTCTAAGCAGTAAGGTAGATGGAATTTCTAAGTAAATTTGAAAACAGTTGGTAGTTTTAGGTTGGGAGAAGGCTTATAGGAACTAGAGCTAACAGGAAGTTCTTCCCAATTTATGGCAAACTGGTCTTCACCAGGGACTGACTGATGAAAGCACTAGAAAGCACTTCATGAAACTTGTGTTGAAGAGCTTTCTTATATTGGTATCAGTGAAGCCTCTGGATTTTTCTCCCTCCCGCCCCCAGTGGGCTATATAAATAGCATCAGCAGGTTCAGGAATATATTGGACAAATTCATGGGCAACATATCCCAAACAGGTATTGACAAGAATAGGAGGGATAAGTGTCAAACATCCTTATGACTGTATAAGAATCGGCTACTCGAAGTTTCCTGAAATATATCTGCTGTTACCACTATCAGAGATTTCTCTTACTTTACTGGGCTGACTCTGCGATATGTCTTAACAGTTTTCAAATATATTTTTATTAGATCACTGTTAGATTAGTTCTATAGCTTARTAAAGAAGAGAAAGAAGACATTTATTAATTCAGAATGGAATAATGGGCAAGCATATTACCTTTCACACACAGATGTTCAGCTRTTCTTAAATCTTGTTTATTTGCAATTATGTTTCTGAGTCTGTGTGTAGCAGATTTTTTAATCTTTTGACACAGAGTTGTGTTCTTGAGTGTATACCTTTTTGGTTATATAATGTCTGTATAAAAGCTTCCCTTTTCTTACGTGGTCAGAGAATACGTAATTAGTACTTAAAGCCACAATCTCATCAGGGTTAGGACATTTGTATGGAGATAATGATAACATATATAAAGTTGCTGAAAATATACCTTTTAGTGTATTTTAGTGTTAGTACAGACCAATTTGTCTCAAT